GACGGTCCGACTGAGCCGTACTAGGCTAGAGTGTAGACCTAAAGATAGGCCGTGACTCGGAACACTCCATATACATTGTGTGAACTTGATTGATTGAATATCATATCACTTCCAACAACGCTGTGTTTCAACAGTAATTGTTGGAGTGGTTGAAGCTAGGCCGTCGATTTGAGCAAGGGAACACCTAGGCTAATAGTAGACTCGACATACGCTAGAGTAGACCTAGCTACGTTATTGGACTTGAATTGGACACTTGACTTTGTGATGGACACTCATTCCTAGTAGTTGTGCACTTGAAAGGCGCTTCAAGACGCTTTCTTTCTACATATGATTAAGATCCTTGGTGCGAGCTGGCGCCGAGCACATATACTTTAAACCAATTAACATCCCTTATGCTTGCGCATGCGAACTTGCATGCAACGGCTATTGGCCGTGCCCTATGGCAACAGTACGCCGAGTGATTGAATGACGAGTCGCGATGCCTGCAATGGCAAGTCACGATCAATGCTTGCGCATGCGAGCTTGCATGCAACGGCTATTGCCCGTCCCCTATGGCAACAATACGCCGAGTGATTGAATGACGAGTCGCGATGCCTAGAATGGCAAGTCACGATCAATGCAGAAGTTCCACTACATATTCTGTTTGGTTTCAAAATTGCATCCTAAAGTGCGCGTGCAACTATCTAATTCCATGTACGTAAACTATTTACTTGCTACGTAAAGTATCCGTGGCTGTTTTATCTTCAATTTCTGAAATTGTCCAAGAACGTTCAAGCATCAATCGACGATAATGCATGCCAGCTAGTAGGACTTCCTAGACGGTTCTGTAGTATGTACTAGTACTAGAATGTCTTGCAATCACTAGGCTTGCACACTCTGGACGACAGGCCAAGCTAGGCTTGTAGGCTTGTATTGTGGTGTTGTGGCTGCTCGGGCATGCTATGCAGCATACCTCAGCTCAAGAGTTTAGCCCAAGGCCCCAGACAAGGTCCTCAATACCTTTTACACGGTCGCCGGAGGTCCATTAATCCATCCAATAATAGTGGCATGAGGCCTAGACTTCGTTCGAGTTGGAACATCATTCACTGCGCGGAGAGTCGGTTGTTCGTCGCGCCTACCGGTACTACAACACATCATTGATGAGCTGCCGAACCGTAGTGTAGCGCTGAAATTTCTGAGCAACTACAAGTGCTCGAAAAGTCGGCGAATATCCGCCACTTCCGTTGTAAAATTGCACCGCGCTTGACGTTTCCTAGCAAAACCCTGGACGGCATTCGATGCATGATTGACTTCGATCTCCTACGCCGACGGCGCCAATATCCCGCATAGATTGCCGGGATATTGCCCCACGACAAAGTGCACCGTAGCTATCCCGTGACCATGCTGCTGGAGTTTATAGCCCGTTTGACCATTCAGGCGCATCTCGAGGAAGCGTGGGCCTTACTCGGGTAAGACGATTAAAGCAAGACGATCGGAAAAATGTTATTTAAGCACATACTACGGTATCCAGGTCGTGCTTTTCTTGTTTTACAACACCCATTTAGGCTCTTCAATTCCGTTCAAGCTAGGGGTTATCCTATATAACATTAAATCTGATCTACACAACCGCAAATGCCCGTTGAGACGAGACTGAAAGATTTATGATGGAATGAGCAATCAGAGGCATTTGGGGCACCATGTTCAACCTTGTGTTGCACGGCCACAGCTCGGGAACCAAAATATGACTAAGCTAATAAGGGCAAGAAGAACTGTTGTTAGTCGCTCTCTAGCAAAAGGTGAATGTTGAAACTTATGGTGAGGGTCTCGTAGTATAGTTTGTACTCGTCATTGGCTCTTATTGTGTGCCCGGCACCCATGCGCATCACCCATTGATGGCAGTCATGCATTTCAAGAGGCACACACGAAGCGGCAGAAGCGTTCTCTCTCGCCACAAATTTCTCTTTGAATGATGTGTCATTGAACAGTACAACTATTAGATTTTACAAACCTCTCTAGTTCCACTCGGCTTACTAACCTTCTATATATGCTCACCAGCCTAGATCACATACTTCTAAGCCCAATAGCCTAGCTCATAGACACACTCAATTCTAACCGTTTTTATCCACGCTTCACTAAACTCCCCCCCTTTTTCGACCATTCATGAATTTGTGCGGGGCTCCTTGTCCGCCCCCACCAAAGTTTCCGTCTCTCATACAACGCTCCCACTCTCGTCGTCCGCGACTCGTCTCGGTCCATCACCGCGACCCCCTCTTGCCGCATTAGCGACACTCCGCATCCCGCACTTTGCATTCATGTGGCCCACTTTACCACAGCACGTTGGCGCTCCCGTTCGGGCTCCGGCCTCTCATCTCCGAGCTTCTTCTTAGCTCCTTCGAACCTTATCCGGCCTTTCTGTGAAACCGAGTAGCCCCTATGCTTGGCAGCATACGCTACAATTTCCTCCCCATCCAAAGTCCCCTTCAACGACCCCGCTTTAGCCTTCAACTTTAGCTTTTGCTCTCTTTGCATAAGCTTTGGCTATATCTCATCCAGGGTAGTTCCTCCTTTCCGAGATCTAAGACGGCCTCAAGAGTGGCAAATACTCCTCCGGCAAACCTTCTAAGGCGTGCACTGCCAGCTCACTCTCTGAAATGGTTCGTCCCGCCGCCTCCACATCTAGCTTGAGCTTCAGAATTCCTTTGGGTACTCTCCAATGGCTGTCCCCTTGATCAACCTTAGATCCATCAGCTTTCTCCTGAGCAGAATCATGCGTGCATTGCTTTTCTTCTCAAAGTTGTCTCCAATTTCTTCCACGCTTGCTCTGTCGTGGATTCACCCTCAAGCAACTTCACATATGGATCTTTCGTGTGGATCATCATCAACCCCTTTGTGCTTGGCTTAACACTTTCCTTCTTTCTAAAGAATCCGGCTCCTTTGAAGTACACAGCCATCCCTTGTATGCGAAAAGCTCAAGGACCTTTGCTTGGCTTAAAACTTTCGTTCCCTCTAGAGAATCCGGCTCCTTTGAAGTTGGAACTTGGTCTTCCACGTTGACAGTTCTCACCACACAGATGCGAGATCCACACTTTGTCTTTCGCCATCTCAGCTACACTCTGCCTTGAACATAAAGAAGCCAAATCTTCCGCCCAATTTCCTCACACGCTCACCAACGCGAGCATTTCAAATATCGCCCTCCAGACACCACAATTGAAAACTTGCGCCCTCTTCACAACCAAGCGATGTGGGCCCCTAGCTTGTTGATACTCATGGTGACGGACTCGTAGTGTGATGTTTAGTCGTCAACAAGTCTTACGTGTTGCCCGGCACCCTTGCTCATCACTCATGATGGCAACCATGCATTCCAAGCAGAACACACGAAGCGCCTCACATATTGTTGAAACACGGCTTTGTTGAGAATAAATAATCGAATGATTAGTTTCACACGGTGGATATCAAGTGTTCGGATTCTAGCGAACTAAAGCTATGTAGTCGGTGTGATATGCTAGACACACAAGTAGAGTTGTTGAGCAATGGAGTTGACTGACGACCAAATTGTTGAGTTAGGCTCGATAGATTTGAGCCGTGGGATCGTGAGTTTTGAGTCGTGTATTTTAAACCGTAAGACTGTGATTTGTGTCGTGTAATACCGAGCGTAGAAATAGAAATTTGTGTCGTTTAGTCTCGATCGTCGAATTGCGTGGTTACTCGCGACGTGGGTCTTTAATGTGAGTCGACTGGAGTAGTATAGTACCCTGACCGCAACGGCCAAAGCTGCCGATTCTTTTGTCAACTTTCGAAATCGGTCGTCGGACTGCAGATAGTCAGATGCAGTGTCACCGTCCGATCGTGTACCGTACGCAGGAATTGCGCTTCAAATTGCTGCCACATGTGACGTTCCGAGTCAAGTAAAGTAGTCTATACCGTACGGTCCGGGCGGTAAAGTCGCTTGCGTACAGTGATGGTGTATTAGGCTTATGCAACTTTCCGTGGCGGTTTGTTAGGGTTGATCCCTTTGCTGTGACTGCTCTCAGATTAGGGTTCCTACTAACGGCTGAGTCACTGTTCCTAGGATTTTAATGTGGTTTTGCAGGCTAACTCGAGCAAAAGCAGCCCCGGCAAAAGCAGGCCCGGTACCAAACGCGTCTTTAAATTCGGCACCCGAACAACGACTGCTTGTGCCCGTCCAGTGTCCGATTTTCAAAGTTGACAAAAGATTCGGCAGCTATGTGCCGCTTGCACCCCTACCACTAGTAGTACGGTAGTACTGACCACTAGTAGTATAGTGCCCGGGTTTCAGGCCGAATGGTATTTGGGTCGTATTGTGAGTGGTAGAGTGACCGATCGATGAAAAGGAGTCCGAATAGTTAAACCGACCACTGGGTGATCCGACCTAGGCTCGATGAAACCTAGCTACAGAATTGAAGTGACTTTGGGTTAATGGCATATGATGCTATTCTTTCTAGGAGGTGCTTGAAGAGAGAAAGGCACTTCTTTGTGAAGGCGCTTATGTTAGAGGGTGGTTGAATCCTAGCTTGTGACAAGCATGAGTGAATGATTTCAATAGAGTCACACTTCTAGTAGGCTCAATTGACCACGGAGAAGCAAGTCCGAAACTTTCGCGGGAATCTGAATATTTACGGTTATCGAATCTACTCATCACGGCAGTTACTCAAAAAGTCAATCGGATGTAACGCTGTAACCCCCGCTCATTTAATCGCCAACCGCTAACCGCCGGTTGTCGTCGAACTCCCGTTGACGTCACTCAAGAGATCGCGCACACAATGCTCAAATTTCGACACTCCCCGCAACTCACTGATAACTTAGGCAATTCCTATCTCGCTCTTGCACTTCTTGAACTTTCCCGGTGCCAACGCCTTGGTTAAGATGTCCGCCTTCATGTCCTCTATCCTGCAGTACGCGAACGCAACCTCCTTGCGTGCCACACGCTCCCGTGCGAAGTGATAACTCACCTCAATGTGCTTCGACCGCTGTGAAGCGATTGGGTGCTTTAGAAGCCGTATTGCCCGTACATGGTTGTGGCAGTAGATCTGGCCCGTCCTCAGGTCCAACCCGAGATCTCCTCTAAGCTTGCAGAACCATAACGCCTTCTTCACCGCTTGCGCTGCGCTCATGTACTCTGCCTTCACCGTCGAGGCGGCCACCATTGGCTCCATCCTGCTCGACGAGCTCATCGCGCGCTCGTACATCAAGAAGATTTACCCCGTTGTGGACCACTTTGTGTCCACGTCTCCCGTGTAACTCGCGTCGCAATAAGCGTTGAGTGTCTCTCCGCTCCCTTCGAAGGTTACGCCGTCCTTTGCCATACCCGTTAGGTAGCGCACAACTTCAAGCGCCGCCCACCGGTGCTCCTCCGTCCGCCCCGCCATAAAGCACGCAAGCGTGTCCACTGCTTGTGCAATGTCGGCCTTAGTCGAGGGGCTCACCTCTTTCGTCAAGTTGTCCCCCAATCCGAGAGGGACGCTGCGCGCCGAAGTGCTCGCAAAAATTGCACCGTCCGACTAGCTCTCCCGTCAGCTTGTTTTGCGTTAGCTTCAAAGTGCACGCATGCCTACCGCACGTCCGTCTCATCCCGAAGAAGTACTTGGCCTCCCAAATGTCGCACGTCGAACTTCTCCCCCTATTGCCGCATTTACCTTTCCAATGCAGTCGCTCCCTGGGCGGCCACTAGAATGTCGTCCACACCCCTGTTGAAGCAAGCGCCTTTCAAGTTCACAACTACTAGGAATGAGTGTCCATTTCATGGCAATGTCCAAGGCATTCCGTAGGTAGGTGTACCCTAGCCCTACTAGCCTAGTCCACCTCTACCGGGCACTAGTCGGTTCAACTATATGAAGTCCTATTCAAGTGACCGGGTCACTATATGACGCACTCGGGTCACTATACGACTCGCTATATGGGCTAATTACCACTCGGACTTGTGGTCGGTAGTACTATACCGAGGTGGTCGGTAGTACCGTACTACTAGATCGGGGCTACTACACACTAGTGGTCGGGGCTCCTAGATCACTCGACTCGAATCACAATCGGACGGTCGATATTGCGTGAATAACACACCAAATAACTTGCCATCCTACGGTCGATA